AAATTTATTTTCGGATTAAATCCCGTCACACATTCCAAATTTCATTGGAATCGAACATTCATATTGTGTTTGAGGCATCAAATGAACGAAATCGGTCGAAAATATATATGGGAGCTATATCCAAATCTGAACCGATAACAATATAATTTGGCAAACTTATTTTTGTTCCAAATTTCGTTACGTATTCCAAATTTGTAGACTGTATCTTCAACCAATCAATAGATATGTGCATATAAAATCTAAATTTTTGGGAGGTATCTCCGATTCTGATGCTGCATCTCCAGTTCCAAGTGGAAATTCAAAAATGTATATAGCCTATGTTACTTTCAGGCGATGTTGCAGTATATATGGAAATTTTCAGGAAAATCTATTCAGCGGTTTTCGAGTCCATAAATTACAAACAAACAAACATACAAACATTTTCCTCTTTTATAGATATAGAAGAAGATTGGCAGCCCTTAATGATATTTGAAATTAACTTACAAATTTTAATATTTTGTTAAGTAGCACACAAACCCAACAAAAAATGTTTAAGCCAAATTTAAAAAAAAAAATCGATAACTATTAAAAATGAAAAGTAATAGCCCGCTCCACTTGTGGATTTTCCCTTTTTCAATTATCGAAAGCTTTTAATCTCCCCATCAACATTTATTTTTTTAATTTTCTTAATGAAATTTCATCCGTGTAACCATAAATTAATTTCCATATGACAAAATGTAACCACATATCGAAAATAGACCACAATTTAATTTTGCCTGCCAAAACACAACATGAAATAAATAATTGCTTAAAAATTAATGACATCATTTCAAAAAAAAAAAAAAAAAATAATAATAATAATAAACTTTCCCGTCATCAATAATGTATGGCAAATATAAAGTCACAACATTTGCCATAATTCAATATTTTTCTATATCTACACATATGTGCATTTAAAGTGTTTATTTGTGTGTAATACATGATCTGCTCAAATATTTCAGTGCTATGCGGGGGGGTTGGAGATAATGTAACGCCGCCAACAAAATGCAAAGTAAACCTCATAATCGGCAATTGAATGAATATTTTCGAAAATTAAATTCTCTCTCACCCCCCCATAGTTATGGTGAGTGTGTGTGTACACATGTATGTAGTAATTTATAACTTTTAAATGATGGATTTAATGAATTGATGTAGTGTAACGAATTTTGAAAATGTACTCCAAAAACCGCTGCCAGGTTTTGGGAAAAGGAAAGTGTGGCAAAAATATGTTTGTGTGCCGTGAAATTACATCATTATTTGCATTTTTAATCATGTTTACAAATATCGGAATGTCAATGGTGTTACATTCTATTCTGTTATGCCAGAGAAAATGTTTAGTATTTGATATGTATGTACATGAAACGGGCATGTGATTAAAGCGAATTAAAATCTATGATATTTATTGTGATGGAAGTGATAATTTCTAAAACGATGCTATAAGTTGAAACAACGAAACTTATCAAACCTTACATGGACCCGCCAATACTGACCCTAAATTACTTGAAGACTTCACCGAAAATCAGAAGGTACCGTTATGTGGGGCCTAATCAAAAAATAGACCTACATTGAATATTTTTCACGAAGAGTTAACCTGCCCGCTGAGAAGCCGAAATGTATACTTACAGCTGATTTGGTTGGAAATTGCGACAGAAAACTTCAAAGCAACTAAAAACTGGAAAATTAATATTTTTTGCGACGACTAGGTATTAGTCGTTTTTTATACCCTTCAGCAGAAAGTGGTATGGGTATTATGCTATTGTGTATTTGTTTGTAACATGGAGAAGGAAGTGAGATAGACACATGGTTATTTTCGAGGATGTTCATGCACGTCGATCTATCTGTCCGTCTATCCATGTATTTTTGTAAACAAAATGAAGGTCGTATTTATTATCCGATTGAGATGAAATTTTGTATACAATATTTTTTTTTATTGAAATTGTTATATGTCTTCGACCGATTTCCGGTTAACTGTGCACCAAATTGCCAATATCATTTCAAATGACCTGAATTTTGGCACATCCGCTCGATTTTCAGTCCAGAAGCAAGTAAATCAAATTTGGTGAAAATCCGTTCAGGTATGGCTATTGCTCCCATATATAAAGGGTGAAAAAAAAAACTGCAACAAAGTCAAACGCCATCATTTTTACATTTTTTTCTAAATTTTATTGAATGAAAGCAAAAAATGTCGGGAATAGCGTCAAATTCTAGAATAAATTTAGATTAGTCGAATTGGTCACCTTTGGCACGAATTATGGCCTTGAAACGGCCAGTGCATCCGTCACACACTTTTGCCTTGCGGTATTTTGGACCATTCCCGACGAAGCGCTTGCTTGAGGTGATCGACACTTTGGTATTTTTTAGTGCCAACCTTGCTTTCCAAAAGTCTCCAGACACAATAGTCGAACGGATTGGTATCCGGAGATTTTTGTGGCCGTTGTGCGCTGGAAATGAAGCGAGGAACCTAATTTGGTAACCATTTTTGGGTGGCAAGTGCTGAGTCCTGTTGGAATGTCTAAGGTCTCACACCCTCCAGAATATTTTCGCGATAATATTCGGCATTTATTGTGATGCCGCGGTCGATTAATACGAGCGGAGAGCGACCCTCGGCTGTTATGGCGGCCCATACCATCACCATAGCCGGCGCTTGAGTTCTGGTGGCCAACCGAAGGTGCACATTTTCAGCTGACCTCTTTGGCAAGTAAACACGATCATTTTGTTTGTTCGCAAATTGCTGGACAACGAATGTTTTCTCATCGGAGAAAACCAAATTCGGCAGTTCACCACTTTCGGCCAAGCTAAGCAACTCTTTAGCTCTTTTGAGTCTAGTTTCTTTCTGTTGCAGTGTAAGTTCTTGCACTTTTTGGAATTTCAATGGCTTTACACCGAATTCATTTTTCAATATTTGCCGAATGGCAAATATGTCTCACGAGTCATTTTTCGGCCACTGCGAGGCGGGTTTCGACCAAGTCGCTGCTTTACTTTTCGAACCATTTCTGCTGATGTTGCTGTTTTCTTCCGCCCACTTCCTTGACGTCGGGCTACGCTACCAGTATGACGGTAAGGAGCGATAGTACGAGACACAAAAGATTTATTCACATTTAAATGATGGAGTGCTCTTACGATAGCCACTTGTGGGTTTCCAGCAAAATATAAAGAAATCACACTATTACGCTTGAACTCCATCACGAATAACTTTTTTTCTGGAAAATTCTCACCAAAATGCTTTTGTACGCTTGTAAACAATATAACGAGCTGTCACTGGAATAATTTTAACAGCTGTCGGACGAGTGGCTTAGAAATGACAGTAGTCTGAATTTGGTTTACAGTTTTTCACCTCACGCTGTATAGGCCCTAAAATTAGGAAGTGCCGTTATGTATGGTCCATACATAATAGACGATCTAGCTTCACAAACTGTTGCAGTGAGATATTCTGTAATCTCTTCCAATTAATGAATGCTCTTACGATAGCCACTTGTGGGTTTCCAGCAAAATATAAAGAAATCACACTATTACGCTTGAACTCCATCACGAATAACTTTTTTTCTGGAAAATTCTCACCAAAATGCTTTTGTACGCTTGTAAACAATATAACGAGCTGTCACTGGAATAATTTTAACAGCTGTCGGACGAGTGGCTTAGAAATGACAGTAGTCTGAATTTGGTTTACAGTTTTTCACCTCACGCTGTATAGGCCCTAAAATTAGGAAGTGCCGTTATGTATGGTCCATACATAATAGACGATCTAGCTTCACAAACTGTTGCAGTGAGATATTCTGTAATCTCTTCCAATTAATGAATGGGTTTTGAATGTGTCCCATTTTTAATACCAAACCTACTAGAGGTAATATAATCATGTCTAAGCAAAATTACGAAGCGACAGAATGCTTATCTGAATTAATCTGTTTTTATACCCTACACCACAAGGTGGTCAGGGTATTATGTCTTTGTGCATTTGTTTGTAACAGGCAAATGGAAACGAGATAGACCCATAGTTCCTTTTGACGATCTGCATAGAATCACATTCTGAGTCGAATTATGCATGTCCGTCCGTCCGTTTGTCCGTCTGTCCATTTATTTTTGTAAACAGAGTACAGTTCGCATTTATTGCCCTATCTAGATGAAATTTTGCACAAATCATTTGTTTGGCCCAAGGACGAACCCTCATGAAATTGGAGATAATCGGTCAAAATTTAGATATAGCTCCCATATATATCTTCGTCCGATTTTCCTTTTATTGTGTATCAAACATGTAATATCAGTATGGAATTTTGCACATACAACCAATTTAGGCCTGAAAATAAGTATGCCAAATTAAATCAATTTTTTGACATATATTGTTCATCCGATTTGCTATTTTAGTCCTCCGCAGCCGTAATATGCACTCTGTAACAACAATATTTGGGAAATATATCAAATACAGCTCAGAAATACATTACGACCGAATTGAGTCTAGAAGCTAGTATGTCAAATTTGGTGAAGATAGGTTCAGATATAGCTTTAGCTCCCATATATACTGTTCATCAGATTTGTCATATTTGTTACCCACAGCCATAATATGCACTCCGTAACAACGATATTCAGGGAAATATATCAAATACATCTTTGCCAAATTTTATCGAGATCGGTTCCGATTTGGATATAGCTCCCATATATATTTTTATCCGATTTCAAATTAATTGTGCACCAAATGGGCAATGCAAGTCCGAATTTAAAAGATACAAGAGTTTGAAAACAATATTCCAATACCTAGAGGTATTCGTTTTCTTGGGCAAAATAACTGCAACTATCAGAACTGCAAGAACTTTAACCCAAAAAATGAGTGGTGTAGGGTATCGCATTGTTAATTTTACAAAATTATTCACTTCATTAATTGTTAAAATTCAAAGATATTAGATTTTCACCACTTGAAGTGTGTGTTTGAATTTTATACAAAATTTCACATACATGTACATACGAATATTGATAATTATTTATGTACTTACTTGGTGCTTGTGTTGTTGTGGTCATTGGTGTTGTGGTCGGCATGGTTGTTGATTCGAAAACCGCAAATTCAGTTGTTTCCACTGGTTCAGCGTAAATTGTCTGATCATCGAAATCGACAATTACCGCACCGCCACCGCCACCATCACCGTTACCACCCATAACCGAGAGACCACCACCACCGCCGCCGCCATTATTGCTAAGAACACCGGCTGTATTTATGCCGCCGCCAGCAGCTCCATTACCATTACCATTGCCGTTACCGTTCCCATTAACGTGGCCATTGCCATGACCATTTCCGTTTCCGTTACCCATATCATCGGCGGTGGAAGCTGCTTTGTGTGTTGCATGTTTGCCATTGCCGTTGTTACGACCATTTTTGATGAATCTCCCTCGGCCAATGCCGTTGCCAATACCACCGCCATTATTATTGGTAATACCCGATTTGTTATTACCGCCACCGTTGTGGCCATTACCATTGCCATTGATGCCATTGTGGCCGTTGCCATTGATACCACCACCACCACCATTGGCACTGCTGCTGCTACTGTGATAATCGTCATTTCCGCCATTTCCGTTTTCTTCATTTCCGCTATACACTGGCTGTTCGATAATATTATGCTCTATTGATGATGATGGCTCCGATATTTCTTTTGGCTATTTTTTCGTCGTTGTTGTTGTTGTTGTTCGGGGTTTCAGTAACATTTGTAGTTGCAGTTGGGGTTTGTGTTGTTGTTGTCATTGTTGTTACGGTTAGCCGCAATACATATGTTTGCAAGTTGTAAGGGTTTCGACAGCATTGTTGTTTTTGCATTATTTTTTCGATACAGCAATGGGGTTTTTTTTTTTTGGTTGTTGGTAGGTTAGTTGATTGGTAGTGTATCCGTTTGTTTGTCATTTGGTTGAGTATTTTTTTTTTTTTTTTTGTTTTTTGGCCGTTGGTTAAAAGGAGCATCGTCATTGCAGATTGGCGTTTTCCACGACCATAAAAAACGCAACAGAGAGCAGCAAAGAAGAACAAAAGCGGAAAGTAAAGGAAGAGACAAATTAGAAAATTGATTCATTGTATTGGATTTCAATTTTTAACGAGCTTCTTGCATTGTTGTGAGATTAAAGGGGGAATGGTAATATGGACGGAATGCAATGGGGGTGTTTTTGTGAGATAATATTTTTTTCAGTAATATGAATATAAATTTAATAGTTATTTCCTTTCAATGGCGGACGAAAAATATTTTATTTTAGAAAGGCCAATCAAAAATTTATTAAAAATTGAAGATAAAATTAATTCAAAAAATATTATTTCTTAATTTTGAAATACTTTTTGAAAAAATTCTCTATAGCGATAGAACAATTATAACAAGATATTCTTTAGGCGTGTATCTTTAACCAAAAGCGAAGATAAGGAAAACAAGATTACAAAGCTAAGCTTATGATGAATGATTTATTTTATTATTTATACCACATTTTTAAGAAAATTTTAAGCCCATGAACGGCTTAAATCAGTGGAGCTCAAGTAAAATGAAGCTGAAATTTGAAACTTCCGTTGGGCTGTGCTAAAAAAATGTGCCAACTACACTTATTTTTGTTCTCTAAGTTCGTAAAAATGATCTAAATGTATCAGTCAAATTTTGATCTTTGTCATAAAATCAATTACGCCTGAAAACTACCACTTCCTTTGAGACTTGATAACACTGCGCAACAAAAAAAAAAAAAAAATAGTTATGGGTAATACCCTCCACCATCTAATACTATCCACCATTTTGAAGGAACATAAAAAATTAAAACCAGTAAAGAAAGTCTTCAAGTCGGGCGGGGCCGACTTTATGATACCCTACACCACTTTGCTAATTAAGTAGAGCTCCACATAACAATTAAAAGTTTTTATGGGACAATTCAATCATACACGCTATGAATATAATTATAATTTAAAGTTCAAAGGACTAAATATGCCGAAGCATTTGTATCTTTTAAAGATATATATGGGAGCTATATCCAAATCTGAACCGATCTCGATAAAATTTGGCAAATATATTTCTGAGCTGTATTTGATATATTTCCCTGAATATCGTTGTTACGGAGTGCATATTACGGTTGTGGGCAACAAATATAACAAATCGGATGAATAATATATATGGAAGCTATAGCTATATCTGAACCGATCTTCACCAAATTTGACATACTAGCTTCTAGACTCAATTCGGTCGTAAGTACCAAATTCCATTCCATTTGGACAAATATTAGACGTTTGGTGCACAATAAAAGGTAAATCGGACGAAGTTATATATGGGAGCTATATCCAAATCTGAACCGATCTCGATAAAATTTAGCAAATGTATTTCTGAGCTGTATTTGATATATTTCACCAAATATTGTTTTGCATAGTGCATATTACAGCGGCTGTGGACAAAAATAACAAATCGGATGAACAATATATATGGGAGCTATAGCTATATCTGAACCGATTTCGATCAAATTTGACATACAAATTTTCAGGCCTAATTTGGGTGTATATGCAAAATTCCATACAATTTGGGCTGATATTACACGTTTGATGCACAATAAAAGGCAAATCGGACGAAGATATATATGGGAGCTATATCTAAGTTTTGACCGATTATCTCCAATTTCTCCAATATATGGACAGACGGACGGACATGCATAAATCGACTCAGAATGTGATTCTATGCAGATCATCAAAAGGAACTATGGGTTTATCTCGTTTCCATCTGCCTGTTACAAACAAATGAACAAAGACATAATACCCTGACCACCTTGTGGTGTAGGGTATAAAAATACCTTTCAAATGAAACCCCTTATATGGGAGCTACACGAAGGCGCGTTCCGTCATACTTAATTTTTTTTATCATAGGCTGTAGAACCGATTCCGAACTTCAAATACGAAATTTAAAACGATTCTGGTGAATAACTCTGCTAAAATGGACCGACATGGCCCGCTTACGAACTTAACCCGCCTATTGGCAAAATGCACTTGTATGCAAAAGTGTGTTTTAGCCTTCTATCTCAATTCGTTCGAAAGATAGCATGATTAGAACAGAAGGGTATTGCTAAATAGTCTTAGAAATTTACGCTGATCTAAAATATATATTGTACGGTCTATCATAAATATTTCATGGAGTTGTAGCTGAATGACAAAGCTAATATACCCTCCATGGACTGGTGGAGGGTATAAAAATATTCTTCATCAAATTTTACAATAAGTCACCACTTCGATTGGAAAATATGAGAGGACTCTCATATCAATTCAAAGCAGGGGGTATCTGTACTAGTAATTTTTATACCCTACAACACTATGTGTTGGATTGGGCCGAAAATTATGTAAAACCTCGAAGTAATGGTTTCGGACATAGGAAACTATATATGGATCTTCCTATCTCGCCGAGCTGAGTCGATCTAGCTATGTATGTCCGTTCGTCCGTTTGGCCATGTTAATTTGTAATCACGCTACAGGTCGCAATTGTGGTCTGATCCTCACGAAATTGAAAATGGAGGTGAGGTTATGGTCCGAATAGAACACTATTGCTTTTGGAGATGATTGTAAAATATTTAAGGGTTGAAATGGACCAAAAACAGAAAATTTGTCTGATTTGCAGTTGCTCTATAGGCCACACTTTTGAACCAATCGACGAAAATTTGCATGGAGTTAGATTTCAGGGCTGGGCAAAAGTTAACAAATTTGGATGGTAATTGGACAATATTTAGCGGGTAAAATAAAGTATAAATTTTATGTCAACAAATACGAAAATTTCCACTAAACCGCGAATATTTTTTAACCCTGCGAAATGTGATGCTATAAGCCAAGATATCGGATATGTAGCAAAATAGATAGAATTTATTTGTAAAAGAAATATATCTTATTTATTCTGCTTATAAGACAAAAATCGCTGGGCCGATTTTCACAATTCCCATCAATTCAAATTGGTCTCTTGCCAGAAAATTGTGTAAAAATATGCCAATAAAAAAGTAAATATTTGTTGTTATATATTTTTTTTTTTATTTTGTCATATTATCATCATCATAACATGAGTTACAATTTTGAATTGTACATTTTTTAAAGTTATTCTACGTCCTGCAACACTATGAGTTGAGGGTATTATATACAGGTCGCAATTATCGTGCGATGCTCACGAAATTTTGCATGGGTCAGAATTGAAGCCTATTCTGTTTGAAGATGTATATTGGACCAATGGACCAACAAATTAATTTTTTTCCGATTTTGCAGTCGCTCTGCAGGTCACAATGAAAAACCAATCGATACGGAATTTTGAATAAGAAGATAGAAGTTTAGCATTTTGGATTATATTTAGCTGTAAAATGGACCACAACAACTAACAGCACGACTTAGTGCATAAATATTAAGCAAACGTCCCTATTCAAAAAGCTAAGGGCAATATCTGGACAATGCTCTATGACATAATTTCAAAAGCGAAATCTTCCAAAATGGATTCGGAAATAAGGGAACTTCTACCATATTGTAGTGTTGTAGGGTATCACATGGTCGACCATAGCCCTTGCTTACTTTTTTTGATATACAGTGGAAAAAAATAGTAAAATTTGATGAAGAAAAATTTTGTCTTTGACGTCATTGTTCAAAAGTGGTACTTCATTGAAGAATTTTGTTTTGTTTTGAAAGTTCACAAAACGTAAGGCTTCAGCCCTAAAATGTGTTTTACATATATATGAATTCCTAGCGTTTAGGTAAGATTTTGAAGTCTTATAGGGAATATAGTAGCATTTTTTGACAAATAATTTTGTGGAATATTTTGACTTGTAACGATCTCGTCTAAAGATAGTTTTGAACCATATTCGAAAAAAAGTCCCAAAGACGCCTTTCTTGACTCGCTTGAGGGTTAAAAATTTCAACAAAAAAATTCTTTGTATTTTTGTCTGCAATATTGCCAAAGAGGAATTCGAGGAATCTTAATAATAATGAAATTTTCAAAAGTGTGCTAGAGTTTGTGTGGAGCTTGCCCTCCAACTTCTATTGTGGTTACTTTTCAATGTAAACTTTTAAAATGTCGTGACACGTGTCTTCTTTTTTACCTTTACTTTCACAATTTTTTGGTACATTCCCCATTTTCCCACAAAATCGAATTAGATTTAGCAATTTAGATCCTATTACAAGATGGTCCTTCGAAAGAATTGTAGTATTGGTTCACATTTTAACATAAATCCCACATAGCTAAAAATGCCGAATTTAAGTGTTTTGAAAGTTTAATTTGATTTTCACCTTAACTTTTTTTTTGGCAAACTAGCCCCATATGTCTCAGACTTGTATTTCGAAGAAAATTAAAATTTCCATATAAAATGTACACAAAATATTCAAAATAGTCATATCGAACAGGCCCGGTGGCGCTTCATATGTCCTTGAGGTCGCCAATTGGTCTCAGACTCGTATTTCGAAGAAAATTAAATTTTCCATATAAAATATACAAAAAAACTATTGAAAATAGTCATATCGAACAGGCCCGGTGGCGCTCCGTATGTCCTTGAGGTCGCAAATTGGTCGTATGTAACGAAATTATAGGCATTTTGGGGACGAATCTGATAAATAAATTTAGTTTTTCATGGAAAAGTTCGGCCATGGGCATAAAAGCTCTTTAGACTCGATAATAATTTAATAGTTAGCGGATCGGGTAGTGATTATTATTTCAATGCAAGAAGACAATAGGAGAAAATACTATGACTTACATATGATGGTGGCCTACGTCCAGACTTTGGTGGTATCACCACCGGTGGTGGCATGCGATGTGTTGTTGTTGTCGTCGTTGTTGTTGGCGGAGGAGGTGGCGGCGGCGGTGGTGCTCTTGTTGTTGTAGTCGTAGTTGTTGTTGTAGTGGTAGTCGTCGACGTTGTCGTCAAATAGCCCAATTCGGCCAGACGTTTCATGTGGAAATCTTTCTGGGCTTCAACTGATGAAATGGAAAATAAAATGAAAATTTTAAATTTTGAATTCGAAATGAGATAACAATTCATTAAAGTTTTCTGATTATTACTACTTACCCACACAAGGATTCATCCATAAAAGACGCCTCCATCCTACACATTGATACAGATACTGGGGATCATTGCCATGACAAGCGCAAGTTGTGCGCAGTGTTGTACCCAGAATACCAATCATTGCTGTGCGACAGCCACTTGGTCGACCGGCACACTTTTTCGTTACACTATCCACGGCACAGGCCTGTTCGAAATATTCCAATTTGAGGCTATAGGGAAAAGAAAACAAAAAGTGAAACATTTATTTTATCAAACATATATTTCTTGTGTACTAGAGACGAAAAAATCACAGAAAACAAGTAAGCAAAGGCTATAGTCGTGCAGGGCCGACCATGTGATACCCTACAACACTACAATATGTTAGAAGCCCCCTTATTGCCTAGATATTACCCTTAGCATTTGTAGCAGGGACATTTGCCCAATGTTTATGCTTTCCGTCGTGCTGATAGTTGTTGTGCTCCATTTTACAGCTAAATATAATGCAACGATCATCCAAAATGCTAGAAATCTTTCCTGTCCTTAACTCTCTTTTAAGGTGTGTCGATTGGCTTCAATTGTGTGATCAGAATTTTTTTTTTCTGTTTTTGGGTCATTTGAACCCCTAAATATTTTGTGTGATGAGGATTTTCTTCTGTTTTTGGGTCACTTGAACCCCTAAATATTTTGCGATCTTCTCCAAAAGCAAGAGGAGCCTCATCTATATGATTTGCTTGTCTACTATAAATGGCTATATTTGTCAACGAAATCAGCATAAAAAACCATAAGTTCGCCTTTTATGTGTTTGGATATTGCCTGTAAGTTCTTTTCAGCATTTCGATAAAATGGAAATGTTGGTATTTTTTCACACAAAAGTAGTGGTCCATTCTACCCGCTGTCCTAAACTCTAACTTCATGCGAGAGTTCATGTGATGATCCAAAATCAGGAAAATATTTATTTGTTGGAACATTTCAACCCCTAAATCTATTGCGGACATCTTTAAAAACAAAAGACCTAGACCTCCTGAGCCTAACCCTACCCTTATGAAATTTTTCATAAGGATGAGACGATAATTGCAATCTGTATATAATAACTCCAACCTGTGTTGTAAGGTGAAAAAATATTAAAAAAAATACACTTAAATTTTATAAGTCAAATTGAAAAAATCGCATGCGATAAAAATTATGAAAAAAACAAGTAAGCAAAGGCTACAGTCGAGCGGGGCCGACCGTTGAATACCCTACAACACTATAATAAACGATACAGTTTATATAGGCGAGATACTCGAAAAAATTCCACAAGATATTGTGACAAATAATAAAAGGAAACCATCAGGTTCCGGTCTATAATTTTCGAATAATAGCAACTTAAACTAATTTGCTCATTTCCAATTTATTGGTAGATGTTGCACTTAAATGGTCTTCCTAGATCTGGAACCAATATTTCCCAAAGACCTATAATCTCTCGAAAGGGACAAAAGATTAAAATTTATTACTGGTTTTTGACTGAAACGCATCTATATGAGATACAGACATTTGACTATATTCTTCAACGAAATCAGCGATAAAGAAATAGTCAGAAGTGCGTCTTTCCTGTATTTGTGAATTCTCCAAAGTCACTGAAATGGACATTTTCGTACTTTGTCTACAAAAGTTGACAAACTATTTCACACATTGAATATTTTTGGATGGCCATCCAAAACTGCTTGGCTTTTGTAATGTCCGGTAACCCCCATTCAAATGTGCGTGAGGATCGGGCGATAATTACGACCTGCAGACAATTTTGCAGTTTTTTGGTCCATTTCAACCCCTAAATATATGGCGATCATCTCCAAAAAGAGTAGGCTTCTATTCTGACCCTCATCTTATCTCCATGCAAAATTTCGTAAGGATCGGACCATAAATGCGATCTGTATATGATATCTTGATATCCTAACTACTTAGTTTTGTTGGCTGTAGAAATATTACCAAATGTTTAATTCAAAATGAAAATATGCCAAAAATATGACAAAATTGAAAAAATAGGAGAAAATTTTACAAAATCCATATTTTCATCTTTAGAGAGATATTTTTATGCGATTTTTTTAGACGTTTTTTCTTTCCTGCCAAGAGGCCATTCTGAATTAATGAGAACTGTCGAAATCAGTTCAGCCGTTCTCGACATATAAGAGATCTTTCAAGCATATCTTCTTCGATAGACATATATATCGCACATATTTTGCTATATATCCGATTTGTTGGATGTAAACATCAATGTAAAGATCAGAAGTAACCTTGTCATGGCTTTGTGATTTCGTCGGGGTTTAAAATATTCGCGGTTTAATGAAAAATTTTGAATTTTTTCAACACAAAAGATATGATCTATTTTACCCGCTAAATATTATCCGATAACCACCCAAATTGGTAGGCTTCTTCCCCTCCCTAAACACTAGCTACATGCGAAATTCCGCGTGGATTGGTCTATAATTGCGACCTGTATAGCTACTGCAAAATCCGACATTTTTTCAGTATTTGGTCCATTTCAACCCCTAAACATTTGGCGATCATCTCCAAAAGAAATAGGTTTCTATTCTGACCCCAACCCAACCTTCGTGCAAAATTTCGTAAGGATCGGGCCATAATTGCGACCTGTAGCTTGATTACAAATTAACATGGACAGACGGACAGACGGACGGACGGACATACATAGCTAGATCGACTCAGCTCGGCGAGCTAGGAAGATCCATATATACTTTCCTATATGGCAAACCAATATTTCGAGGTGTTACATAATTTTTGGCCCAATCAAACTTATAATACCCCCAACACATAGTGTTGTAGGGTATAATAAAATATGTCACAAAATACTAGAAAATCTATATTAACATCATTATTGGCATTTTTATGCGATTTTTTTAGATTTTATACTTTTATGCCAAGTGGGCATTTTGAATTGACAAAATCGGTCCAGCCATTCATGAGATATAGGCATTCTAGCTAAAATCTCCTTCCTTTGAATATACACATTGTATATATTTCGCTACATATATCCGATATATTTTTATTATAGGCATCAACGTAACGGTCAGAATTGTCCTGTTCGTCTATTTGTGATTTCGCTGGGATTAAAAATATTCGCGGTTTAATAGAAAATTTGACCTTTATTTAACACAAATGTTATGGTCTATTTCGCCCACTAAATAAAGAGTGATTTGTTAATAGCTTGATAACTTTAAAAAAAAAAAACGCATAAAATTTGCAAAATCTCATCGGTTCTTTATTTGAAACGTTAGATTGGTCCATGACATTTACTTTTTGAAGATAATTTCATTTAAATGTTGACCGCGGCTGCGTCTTAGGTGGTCCATTAGGAAAGTCCAATTTTGGGCAACTTTTTCGAGCATTTCGGCCGGAATAGCCCGAATTTCTTCGGAAATGTTGTCTTCCAAAGCTGGAATAGTTGCTGGCTTATTTCTGTAGACTTTAGACTTGACGTAGCCCCACAAAAAATAGTCTAAAGGCGTCAAATCGCATGATCTTGGTGGCCAACTTACCGGTCCATTTCTTGAGATGAATTGTTCTCCGAAGTTCTCCCTCAAAATGGCCATAGAATCGCGAGCTGTGTGGCATGTAGCGCCATCTTGTTGAAACCACATGTCAACCAAGTTCAGTTCTTCCATTTTTGGCAACAAAAAGTTTGTTAGCATCGAATGATAGCGATCGCCATTCACCGTAACGTTGCGTCCAACAGCATCTTTGAAAAAATACGGTCCAATGATTCCACCAGCGTACAAACCACACCAAACAGTGCATTTTTCGGGATGCATGGGCAGTTCTTGAACGGCTTCTGGTTGCTCTTCACTCCAAATGCGGCAATTTTGCATATTTACGTAACCATTCAACCAGAAATGAGCCTCATCGCTGAACAAAATTTGTCGATAAAAAAGCGGATTTTATGCCAACTTTTCTAGGGCCCATTCACTGAAAATTCGACGTTGTGGCAGATCGTTCGGCTTCAGTTCTTGCACGAGCTGTATTTTATACGGTTTTACACCAAGATCTTTGCGTAAAATCTTCCATGTGGTCGAATAACACAAACCCAATTGCTGCGAACGGCGACGAATCGACATTTCACGGTCTTCAGCAACACTCTCAGAAACAGACGCAATATTCTCTTCTGTACGCACTGTACGCATTCGTGTGGTTGGTTTAATGTCCAATAAAGTAAACTGAGTGCGAAACTTGGTCGATTATGTAGGCTATAAATCGGACATAAAGCGTGAAACACATTTCGAACCGAACACTGATTTTGGTAATAAAATTCAATGATTTGCAAGCGTTGCTCGTTAGTAAGTCTATTCATGATGAAATGTCAAAGCATACTGAGCATCTTTCTCTTTGACACCATGTCTGAAATCCCACGTGATCTGTCAAATACTAATGCATGAAAATCCTAACCTCAAAAAAATCACCCTTTATTAGTCGAAGACCATCCAAATTGGAAGGCTTCTGCCCAGCTCTAAGTTCTAGCGTCATGCTAACTTCAGGTCGATAAATTGCAACCTGTAGAGCACCTGCAAAATCAGGAAATTTTGGTCTATTTCAACCCCTAAATATTATGCGATCATCTCCAAAAGTAACAGGCTAAATATTATGCGATCATCTCCAAAAGTAACAGGCTTCTATTCTGTCCATACCCCCACCTCCATTCTAAATTTCGTAAAGATCGGGTCATAATTGCGACCTGTAGAGTGATTACAAATTAACATGGACAGACGGACAGACGGACGGACGGACATACATAGCTATATCGACTCAGCTCGGCGAAATAGGAAGATCCATATATACTTTCCTATGTGGGAAACCAATATTTCGAGGTATTACATAATTGTTGGCCCAATCAAACTTATAATATCCCCAACACATAGTGTTGTACGGTATAAATATATGCAAAATTAAATTATAAAAATTTTGTTTTATTACAATTTTTTTTCCAATTATTTTCAAATATTGATATTTTTGATTTTTTTCTACCCTCATCAGCGAACAATCTAATTATTGCAAATTACACAAAAATTAGGAGTCAATTTCCAAGTCTCATTGGCCCAGCCCAGTAGCCATATGCACAAATTTAAGGAAAATCAGTTTCCAAGAACATTTAATTTATTTGGACTTTCATGTGACTTCATCATCAATATCCTTCATCCCAAGCAGAAACCTAAAACCCAACAAACTCCAAGCTCCTAATTTTAAT